ACAGACATTCCTCTCTCCAAGTGACCTCACATTCCACTTTCCTCTTGACTTCTACAGCATATTTAGACTCAGAGAAGTATCTGCTATGGAAGTAAGGTTTTGGAGCGGTACCGTGGGCTCTGGGGGAGGCGGAGGAAGGATGCCCTGTGGTATTTGCACATTGCAGGCCCAGCCCTCCCGGGATGGTGTTAGTAAGTCCACAAAGTGAAATGTTTTAACTGTCTGCGAATCAGATTGGTTAATGAACCAATTCATTATACATCTACACCAAATATGAGTAGCCATTAAAAAGAATGAAATAGATTTCTATCTACTGATGTGAAAATGTCTCTAAGCTGAAATAAGTGGGAAAAGACAAGTTACAAAACTACATAGTGGAATTCAATTTTAAATTAAATCTGTGAGTATACTATAGACTATAACATCTCTGAGGTTGGATTTAAGGGATATTCTTCATTCTATATTGTTTGCATATTTGTTAAGAAGCATGTGATACTTTGTAATTATACAAATCAGTAAAGTATTTTAAACAAAATAAATGTAGGGCCCAAAGGGAAAAGGATGGGAATGCATTTTTAAAAAAGCTAATCCTAAATCTGAAATAGTAACATTCTCAAGCATTCTATTAACCAGTTTTTAACATACCATACATTGAATTGTTTTTGGACTTTAGCATATAACTTGTATAACTGGCATTAAAAAGTGAGATATTTTAAATTTCCATAGATTTCTTTGGTTTTTCCCTCTCCTTACAGACCACTGATTTGAGTGCACGCACTATTGCATTTCTCATCTTCCAGCTGAATGAAGATGGCCCCAGCAGTGAACACTGGGAGGAGGAGACAGAAAACAGAACTGTGGCAAGTCACTGGGTTCTGCTTTCAGGTGTGAGGTGCAGTGGCGCAACGTGGGGCAGCTGAGTGAGGCTGAGGTCAGAGGACCACATGCTCCTGGGGCATGCCATGACCGTCCATCGAGGGAGTTCTGTGTGTCCATTGGTTTTATTAGTAGGACTTGGCGATGTTTTGTCTCTCATACAATGGAACGCCTATCACAAAAGAGGACAATACAGATTTCCATGTAAGACTGTTGCGCCTTCAGATGGAGTACACAGATGGAGGCTCAGGATACACGCTTGCCCTTTACATTGATTGGTTGGCCTCTTGTGCCCATGCACTTGCCCTTTTGTTTCATCCCAAAATTTACTGCGATCAGCCTGCTCAAACCAACTTCCTAAAAACAAGCAATATACATAAGCTAAGAGAAAGCAGTTAGCCTGAGGATTCACAGTAGAATTTTGCAATAAAATATAACTGGAGAAAATGGGAGCGTTGTAGCTAGGGTCATCTAATCTGTTTTACACAGGGTTTATATTTATTCTTCAATCCTGGAATACAATGTATACATGGTATATTAGCCAATTCTATACACCGAGGGCATATATGCATAATTTATCTTTTTTCCATATAAGTTTTTCTGTCATCTCTTAATTTAAGAAGGTAAAGCCTGTCTCAGAAAAAAATGTATTACTATGCTAGCTTTTGTAGCAATACACTGCTGAAAATATCTAAAATTTTAAGGCTATTATTAAAAAGCATGGTTCTACAAGAGCTACATTGTGTTTCAAATTACAGAAATATTATTTGTCTGAAAACAGAAGATCGAAACTGGTCCCAATGATTGAGCAATCTGGTTAATGGGTTCCAAGTAATTGACGTTTTGTCATGTAACAGTGTTTCAAGCAATCTGGTTAATGGGTTCCAAGTAATTGACGTTTTGTCATGTAACAGTGTTTCTTTTTTTTTAATATCACCACTAAGCCTGCATGTAACAGTGTTTCATTCCTATTTCTTCGAAGTGGTTGCAGGAAGGAACATATTTTTTACCAACACTTGGTGAGGTTTTCGGCTTCTTTGTGTGTTTTGAAATGGTACCTAAGTTTTCCTTTAAGTTTGTCAATATGCTGGTTTTGCTTAAATATATAACTCTTCAAAGTGTAATTGGACAAAAATCGCTTGACACACCATAATTTTGATGCATCTGACCTTTGAAGAGAAGTTTACATTCAATCCTATAAAATCTCAACTCAAATAAATCAGCGAGGTCTGCCTGGGCTCTGTTCTAGAGGAAAAGAGACTTTCAGTTAAGTGCTGTGAGTTGGTGACCGTCAATGAGAACCACACCTCTCATGTCCTATTGATGAGTGATGTTGGTTGTATTTCATAACGTGTTATTCCAGCTGTGGGAGAAGTCATGGAGATGTTACCAAGTTATCTTTCAAGTATAGCTTTAAGATTTCATGATATTTTTAACACAGATGTTTTCCACTGAGAGTTTAAAGGAGACACTGTCACTTCCTCATTTTGAAAAAAAAACAGATTTTTGCCTTTTCTAAACTGACTTTTAAAGTGGGTGCATCAGCTAACATTAGTTTGCAGTTATGAACACTCAATAGCTTTACCCTAGGAGAGGTAACTTTTGTGATGAGGTGCCTGATTGACAGGTATCCAGGTACATTTCCGCTAGAAGATATGATAGAACACAGGAAGATTTCAATTAATATATCTTCCTTCCTGTTAACTACTCTAAAAAGAAAAGAAAAAAGTATGGTAAGAGAGTGACATGAAGACAATTACGTTCTTAAAATCACCTTAGAATCTAATTTGTTATTGACTGGACTTCTCTTGTCCCTCCTTAATGTTTGCCCATATGACAGTGGCTGCAGTTTAATGGTGACCTCTGCTATGGACAGGATCTTGCTTGGCATTGATGGGTACAAAAGAAGGTGAAGCCCTGTGATTACCCTGTAGGAGCTCATGAGCAACAGGGCAAGATGCCCACATCACCAGATAACTGTAACAGTAAGTTAGCACAGCTTCTGTATGAGTGAAATGAACGTGACACGTAAGTAACAAGTTGTGCATTGCCTTCCATAAGGAACATAAAGTTATCCATTTGCTTTTTCAGCAAAAGTTAAAATTACGCAGGTGTAAAAATGCCCAGTCACCTATCTCATTATAAGCAGGAAATTGGCCAAAGGTAGCCAACCATAGGTGCAGTGCTAAAATATGAAATTTGGTTTCCAGTGTGTAAAGTTTGCTTCATTGGAGATCAGAGTACAACCTTGGTATTGTCAATGCCATGACAGCCTAGCATGAACTGTCCTGGACCAGGACCAAAGTAGTTTGCCTTTAAGATTTTTGTAAAGAAAAGCAAGACAACAAATGCCCTTGGTGATATCCTGTTTGTGTCTTGGTCTGGTGTCAGCACACCCAGCTGCAGCAGTAGTCTCAGCAGAGGAGGGTCTCCAAGAAAGGATGATGTACAGTAGACACGCTACTTTGTATCTACTCAGTGTAGAGAAGTGTCTATGTTTTATTAGATTGTCTCTCCTTAGCACCTCAGTCAGTGCTTGGCACCTATGAATGAGCACATGTGTAATGCTTCGATGAATGATTATGAGATTATGAACCTCAGATAAATGGATGTGTTTCCTTGAACTGGCCATTTAAGGGGAAAGGGGACTTATAATGGTTTAGTGCGACACTCTGTTGTGTTGTACTAGTTCCCTAACATGTGTTCACACAAGAGCGTCCACCAACATGGCCTGTTATTTTTCTCACCGTGATCCAGACTTTGGTTATCTCAATGGCTTTTGTAAGAAAGAAATGACATGTCTATTTCCTCTGATTAAAAAAAAAAAAAAAATAGAAAAAAAAATGACAGCATGTGTCTTTCGTTTTGGGTTTGTTTTTAGACACAGTCTCACTCTGTTGCCAAGGCTACAGTGCCGTGGCATCAGTGTAGCTCACAGCAACCTCAAACTCCTGGGCTCAAGCGATCCTCCTGCCTCAGCCTCCTGAGTAGCTGGGACTACAGGCATGCACCACCATGCCTGGCTAATTTTTTCTATATATATATTTCTACTTGACCAATTAATTTCTTTCTGTTTTTAGTAGAGACAGGGTCTCACTCTGGCTCATGCTGGTTTTGAACTCCTGACCTAGAGAGATCCTCCCACCTCGGCTTCCCAGAGTGCTAGGATTACAGGCGTGAGCAACCGTGCCTGGCCGAGAGCATGTGTTTTGTTGTTCATAGTCTGTGGTGAATTGGCACAGAGCTCTGTACAGTTAATGGAAGGGAGGGCTTAACTGAACTTTTCAACAAAACATTTTCATTCTGCCTTCTCTGATACATGGCATGAGCATAATATAAAATCTGTGTTTTCTCATCTACGTAAAGATTTTCTAAAAAATATTCCTTCAAGTATTTTGTGGTTGGATCTTTATGAAGACTGGGTCAGTGTTCTGGATGAAGGAAAGGATAAAGATGAAATTGATATCATGGAACGGTAATTTTTCTATTTTTTTCATGTCTTAAATTCTTTTCATAAAATCTTTAAGTCTATTAAAAATCAAAGTCCTATTTACAATGTCCCATTTGGAAGCAGATTTATGCTAGCTCATCACTGTTACTATCTCCTCCCTAATCCTACCAACATGGACTACTTGGAACATTGTACAACTTCAGTATATCTGAATTGATAGGAACTGTAATTCGTAGTTCACTAAGTAGTACTCTAGGCACAGTCTACAGCTTATTATCTAATTTTGGTAAATATTTAAGGAAGCAGGTAAGTTCTTATATAATTTATTCAGAAACTGAAGTCATACAGAGAAATGACAAATTTCCTCCACTCATGCAATTCTGTTTTCTACAGTAAGGATATATAAGTCAAGAATTACCATAATATTGCAGTATGACCATGCCATAAAAGACATATATTCATTAGACCTGTAATCTTAGCACTCTGGGAGGCCAAGACAAACAGATTGTTTGAATGAGGCATTTCAGACCAGCCTGAACAAGAGCGAAACCCAGTCTCTACTAATAACAGACAAAATTAGCTGACCATGGTGGCACATGCCTGTAGTCTCAGATACTCAGGAGGCTGAGGCAGTAGGATTGCTTGAGCCCAGGAGTTTGAGGTTGCTGTGAGCTAGGCTGATGCCATGGCACTCACTCTAGCCTGGGTAACAAAGTGAGACCCTGTATCAATAAGTAAATAAATGTCAAAACAACTGCATGATTTATGAAGCTTCTCAGTTTCTGTCTGAAAAAGTCAGTCCAGTAAAATCACTACATTTGTCTTAAAAGGAAGACAATTAAAAAAAAAAACTAAGTAGTTTCATTCTCTAATTGAAAATGGAGAAAATAAAGTATATTAAAGCATAACTAAATGTACCACTGTAAAATTGCTCATATCTTCAAATTAATTTCTGAGAATGATTAGATTATATAAACTATTAGCTTAACATATTTAGACACTGCATACTAAGTAACTTGAAAGAAGATTCTATGCATTTGATGCAGAGAGGATGTGCAAAAAATTATTGAGCAAAATTATATAAATAGTGATTTAAGATCTAAAAACTATGTTTTCTAATTATACTCCCATGGAATCTTTATTATAACTATCATAATATCCCAGTAATTACAAAAAGGAGAAAAGAATACAAAATAGTAACTATGACAATATCCTCCCAATTACAGGAATTTTCAGTCCCGAGTGAAAAGGGATCATTAGAGAAATCATCCACCTCTATCACCCAATAAAATGTTGGGTGACATGTTATCCAGTCTTACATATGATGGGATAGTGTAAAGGTGATAACCATTCCTTCTTTACATTATCTATGTTAAACTTTAAAAACCACTTAGTTATATTGATTAAAACACATTATGTTCAAACAGTCATTAGAGAGCATCCAAAAATCCACTAGTTGCAAGAACTCCAGGAGCATGGTTTCTCTTGATATATCATGGGGTGGGGAATCTGTTGCCTTCTGATTTCAAGATCGTTGTTTTTAAAGCACCGAATGAAGAAGAAAAGCTTTGTCTTTGTCTACTATATCCCTTTTAGTAAAAACAGTTGTTTTGTAAATTTCAGATTCTGTTAAAAGGTCCCACTTAAGAATCGACAAGGCCACATAGGTTGCCTTAAGGCCACAAGTTTCCCATGCCTGTGAGGCTAATTATTTACTGAATGTTGATTGGAAATAATATAGAACATTCCAGACAGGAGTAATCTTTACTTTTGACTGACATCTGTGAAGGCATTTTAATTTTTTATCATATTAAGTAACATTAACCACTTCTACTATGTCTTCTATCACACCAAATAATACTCAAGACTTGTACTATTAAAATAACTCAGTATTTTAAGTGGCTAATTTGTTCCACTTAAGGAACAATTGGAAAAATGAGTTCTTTAGTTGTTCTCAACACACACCATATGCTTCTATACATGAATGTTTTATAAGTTAAACCCAAGCTACATCTTTCTTTAGATTTTCCTCATGGGTTTTGCATCTATAATTATACAGCCATGGACAAATTCATATTAATGACATCTACCTAATATAAAATAGTCTCTAGTAGTTCGAATGCAGAGAGAAAATATCTTATATTTTCATATGAATACTAGAAATTAAGGCATAGCATCAACTTAATTGAGAGTTGAATTATATCAATACCTGCCTTCCAAGCAACTCAAATACTGTCAATAGAAATAAATTATTCAATGACTACTATACCTACCAAATGTCAATGTTCTTGCGCCTTAGAAACATATGAAAAAAATATACTAATTGCTTTGAATTCAGATTATTCTCCATTTTGGTACAAAATTTGAAAGTGTTTGTGCTTTAGTTTTCTGATTCTGTGAATCCCCCGATACAATTAGATTTGCATTTTAATTAAATACTTCCATTTATTTTATCTGTAAAGTTTGTTTCCCTGTGATATTTCTGGTGATTCCAAGTTATATATTTTGGATATTATTTCCTTATTTGCTATATCTATAGAACCTCTTTACTATGAATTCTCTGATGTCGAGTAAGGTAGGACCTACAGTTAAAGGCCTTGCCACATTCTTTACATTTGTAGGGTTTCTCTCCAGTATGAATTCCTTGATGTCGAGTAAGGTATGAACCACAGGTAAAGGTTTTCCCACAGTCTTTACATTTGAAGGGTTTCTCGCCAGTATGAGTCCTCTGATGTCGAATTAGATGTGAACTATTTTGAAAGGCTTTCCCACACTCATTACATTTGTAAGGTTTCTCTCCAGTGTGAATTCTATGATGTTGAGTAAGACTTGAGGAATGAATAAAAGATTTGCTACATTTATTACATTTATAAAATTTCTCTCCAGTATGAATTCTCTCATGCTTTGTAAGATGTGAACTATACTTAAAGGATTTGTCACATTCTTTACATTTGTAGGGTCTCTCTCCAGTGTGAATTGTCTGATGAACAATAAGATGTGAAGAACGAATAAAGGATTTACTACATGTTGCACATTTGTAAAATTTATCTCTGGTATGAATTCTCTGGTGCTGAGTAAGTTGTGAACTAGTTTTAAAGGCTTTGCCACATTCCTTACATTCATAGGGCTTCTCTCCAGTATGAATTCTCTGGTGCACAATAAGACTAGAGGAATAAGTAAAACACTTGCTGCATGTATTGCATTTGTAAAATTTTTTTCCAGTATGAATTCTCCGGTGCACAATAAGACTTGAGGAATGAGTAAAAGATTTGCTACATGTATTGCATTTGTAAACTTTTTCTCCAGTATGAATTCTGTAGTGCTTTGTAAGAAGTGACTTATACTTAAAGGCTTTGCCACATTCCTTACATTTGTAGGGTTTCTCTCCAGTATGAATTCTGTGATGTTGTCTAAGTATTGAAGACCAGAAAAAGGACAAGCCACATTTTTTACATTTATAGCGTTTCTCTCCAGGATGAATTTTCTGACGCACAATAAGATTTGAGGAAAGTGTTTTATATTTGTAAAATTTTTCTCCACTATGAATTCTCTGGTGCTGAGTAAGACGTGAACTACAGTAAAAGACTTTGCCACACTCTTTACATTTGCAGGGCTTCTTTCCCGTATGAATTCTCTGGTGCACAATAAGACTTGAGGAGTGAGTAAAAGATTTGCTACACGTATCACATTTGTACACTTTTTCTCCTGTATGAATTCTCTGATGCACAATAAGACTTGAGGAACGAGTAAAAGATTTGCTACAAGTATCACATTTGTAAAATTTTTCTCCAGTATGAATTTTCTGATGTTCAATAAGGTGTGAAGTATGGTTATAGGCTTTGCCACATTCTTTACATTTGTACAGTTTCTCTTCAGCATGGATTATCCTATGTTCTCTTTGATTTGATGAAGTATTAAAGATTTCCTCACATTTACTGTATCCGTATGAATTTCTTCCAAAATGGATTCCCAGATGCTGAATATGTTTTGAAGGGTGGGTATCAACTACTACACCTTTATTATATTTGTAAGGCTTCTCTTGAATATGGATACACTGATGGACAATAAGCTTTGAGTATTGAGAAAAGACTTTCTTACATTTTTTACATTTGTAATTATTCTCTTGAACATGGATTTTCGGATGTTTTCTAGAACTATATAATTCATTGATTTTCTCACATTTACGGAATTGATTATTTCTGTCTGCAATATAAGTATCTTGGTAACTATTTAGGGTAGAGCCTTGGCTAAAGGACATAAAAGTTTTATTGTAAGTGTGATATTTTCCTAAATTGTCTATTCCGTGATATCGATTAGATGAATGAGTGAAGACTTTCCCATGGTGATCACTGTTGTAGATTTTGGTAGAAGAAGGTATTATGTCTGGGTGGAAAAAGAATAAACTTTTAACAAACTGATCATATTTAGAAATCTTACCTTCATTTTTAAATATCAAATCTTCAGAAATGTTTGACTGAACATGTAATCCAATTGTGTATTTAAATTGGTCGAAATTATTATTTGGAACATGCATCACACCACAGTTTAGAATTTCCAAATTTTCTTTCTGATAAAAGTTATGTTCCAAAAATTGATGCTGATATTTACTTAGAGAAACATGTGATTCAGCAGAAGTATCTGATATAAATGAAGTTTTTTCCCAAAATGTCTTAGGCTGTTGACCTACAGTATCACTGACATTTTCATCATAGTTAGATGTTCTACATTTTTTATATCCATCATAACATCCATTCTGCCCTTCACACTCATTTGGGCTTTTCCGGTCTTTCCGTGAGTGTAAATTTTCAAGACTACAGCTCTCAAATCTTCCCAATATCACTTTTTGGAATGGAGCTTCTATGCACTTCTTTGTCCATAGGCCTTGGGTGAAATGAGAAAATATATCTGAAATACACCAAAAAAAATTTAAATTCCAATTACTATATACTTTACAAATAATATATAGAAAATTAAACTAAACTGAGGACATCAGCATGATGATTGAATCAAAAACTTAAGAACTTTGTTTTCCACTGATATACCAAGTTAACAAAATATGCTTAAAAAGAGCTCACAGTAGCAAATTACTGAACCCCTAGTGAGCATAAAGCCAAGAAGAATCAAATTAAGAAAGAACCAAATTAAGTCTGTTACCTTTCTGCATCACAGCAGAATGGCATCAGGAAAAAAATCTTCCTTATTTATCTCTTAGAAAATAAAGATAAGAGTAAAACATACGTCCAAAGCTCTCAGTTTTTCTGCGGCTATCTAAAGACTAGTTATTGCTTCCTTTAATATGGAGTGTTAAAGAAAATGGAAACAGGTTGAGTCCACTGAAGACAGGTATATGGGTCGAAGAGCGTGGCTCAGCCGTAATCTAGCCACTCTGGAAGGCCGAGCGGGCAATGGCTCAAGGTCAGGAGTTGGACGACCGACCTGAGCAAGAGCGAGACCCCGTCTCTACTAAACAGAAGGAATTAATTGGCCAACTAAAATATATAGAAAAAATTAGCCGGGCATGGTGGTGCATGCCTGTAGTCCCAGCTACTTGGGAGGCTGAGGCAGGAGGATCACCTGAGCCCAGGAGTTTGAGGTTGCTGTGAGCTAGGCTAATGCCATGGCACTCACTCTAGCCTGGGCAAAAAAGCAAGACTCTGTCTCAAAAACAAAACAAAACAAAACAAAAACCACAAAAACCAAAACAAAAAAACAGGTATATTAAATCATTGCTATTCAATGTATGGTAGTAAAATTTCACATAAGATGCATTATAATAATTAATAAAAGGCCATACTCAGGATAGGCCTGGTGGCTCACGCCTGTAATCCTAGCACTCTGGGAGGCCGACGTGGGAGCATCGTTTGAGCTCAGGAGCTCAAGACCAGCCTGAGCAAGAGCGAAACCCAGTCTCCACTAAAACTAGAAAGAAATTATTTGGCCAACTAAAAATATATAGAAAAAATTAGCCAGCATGGTGGTGCATGCTTGTAAGTCCCAGCAACCAGGAGGCTGAGGCAGGAAGGATTATTTGAGCCCAGGAGGTTGAGGTTGCTGTGAGCTAGGCTGATGCCATGGCACTCTAGCCTGGATGACAGAGTGAGACTCTGTCTCAAAGAAAAAAAAAAAAAAAAAAGGCCATACTGAGAAAATTTTAAGGAATGAAATTTTCTTATGTTATTGGATGTACTGGTACTATTGTTATACAACATATACTGGCATATAGAGTCTTTATAAGCTAAGAGAAGTTTTATGTTTCCAAATAAAGGAACAACATAAACGTTATGTAATAAACTTAAACTTATATTCAAACATTTTAAAACATGTGGTATCTGCTAGTAATGTAATTTAATTCTTATTAACATGTACATTTGAGCATTTCACTTCAGTTTCGAATCTAAAATCACAGACAAACTGACATGCAACATTTAAGAAAGTGAAAGATGCAGGAGAGGAACATAAGCAAGATTACAGAATAGGAGCTCCCCGTTTGGACCCTACACTACAATGCTGCAGCCGGGCCTAGATCACACTGCTTTTGTGGGAGCTTCGGGATCCAGACTGAGTTTGTGGTGCCCTAGTGGAGCTCAACACCAAGCAGCAGGGCTGTCTGGCGAGGGCAGGCCCTCACTCATGTGACAGGCTGCCTAACCATGGTCCTAGGTACAGACAAAAAGTAGCAACATCTCACTGGGGACCTAGTTACGGTCCATTTTTTCTTGGTCTTGCCATTAGCACCATCTGCCAAGATACCCAGGAAGATTCAGAGCCACCTGTGTCTCAGGTGAGGCCTTAACCCCTTGGTCTTATCTATGGCCCATGAATCAGCCCCAAACCCACATTTTTTTTGACCTCTATATATTTTATTTATTTACTTATTTTTAATTTTAGCATATTATGGGGGTACAAGTGTTAAGGTTTCATATAATGCCTGTGCTCCCCTCCCCCCTCGAATAAGAGTTTCAAGCGTGTCCATTCCCCAAACGTTGCACATCTTACTCCTTGTGGTTGTATATACCCATCCCTTCTCCCCCCCTCCCGACACCCGATAAATGTTGCTCCTATATGGTGTTGATCCATTAATACCAATTTGCTGGTGAGTACATGTGGTGCTGATTTTTCCATTCTTGAGATACTTCACTTAGTAGAATGGGTTCCAGCTGTATCCAGGAATATACAAGGGGTGCTATATCACCATTGTTTCTTAAAGCTGAGTAGTACACTCCATGGTATACATATACCACATTTTATTAATCCACTCATGAATTGATGCCAAACCCACATTCTTCACCTCTCATTAATGGCTGGGGAATGAAACTACAGCCCACACTGGGATCTTCAGGGGGAAACATCCATCTGTGACCCTGGATGTATTAATAGCACCACCAACTTTGACCTGAATGTGCATCTTGAAGCAACATTGTAACCTGGCTGCCTCCAGCTGCAGGTAGTCAGATCCCAGGAGCAGGTTGGCTAACCTGGGACCAGTCTGGAAGCACATCTGTGTCCATGAAGGCAGGCCTGCTAACATAAGTCTCACCGTGAACCTTAAGAATCCCTGTAACTTGGTTACAGTCCCCGTTAGCCAAGGTCTGGAAGCAGCCCTGCCCACACAAAAACCTACAGGGAGACGTGCAGTGGACCAAGAGACAGAACTGAAGACTTAGGTCTCAGCTACAGCAGCCGTGTGAGTCAGTTACAGCCACCTCAACTGTGATCAGGATGAGTCCTGCCCATGCAGACCTGTCCAGTGATGGGGTGAGAGCACTCCCAGAGGCCCAGCATTGACACAAACCTGTCCACATCCTTTGTGTGAGCACCTGATCTGCAGAAACAACTACAGTTCCTTGTCTCAGCACTAGTCCTACTGAGCAGGATCTCGAAGAAAGGTCAGTCTTCCAAGGAATAGACAGGATCCGTGACTGTATGATGCCCTGATAACTGGTCTGCCAACCATGAAATCCACTGCAGTCCCAAGAGCAGCCATGGGACCTGGCTCCAAACTCAACTGACTGGAATCTCAGTGAAACTATTATCAGCCCATGGATGAAATCAGGAAAGATATTTAACTTCTAAAACTAGCCTATAATGATGGAAAGAGCAGCGTGCTCCTTCAGATTTAGGGACATAAACACAAAAATACACAAATCATGAAGGATCAAACAAAACTATCACCATCAAAAAGAAAACTAATAAAGTTCCAGTGATCATTTGCCAAAAAAATGACAACATAAGAATTGGCTAACAATGAATTTAAAACAATCATTTTTTTAAAATCTCACATAGACTGGTTGGTTTGAGTGTGTTGTGTTTACAACTAACTGATCACAACCAGTTATAGATTCCTTTGTTCCTTCTCCACTACCACTGCTTAACTTAACCAGCCTTTAAAAACTAAAATCTGATGGGAAAGAACACTGAAAGATAAAAACAAAGTTTTCTGTAAAAATGCATGAACAAAATGAGAACATTAATATAGACATGAAAACCACTAAAAAACAAATCCTGATGATGAAGTACAGCAATGTAGGCGTAACAAATGTAATTGAAAGCTTTAAAAGGATACTGAATCATGCAGAAAAAAACAAACTCAAAGGTCATTTGAAAGTAGCCAATTAAAAGAAAAAAAGAAAAAGTAAAGAACACACGTGGGCTTTACAGTGCATCATAAAGTGAGCAAATATATGGACTTTAGGATTTTCAGAAAGAGAAGAGAAAAAGGAAAAAGTGATTAAAGATATACTCCAAATCTAGAAAAGAATGTTGAAATCCAATTTCATGAAGCTCAAAATACACAAAGAAAAACCTAATGAAGATTGCCCAAGGAGGTAAATAATCACCAGGAGACCTGTCTCACAAGAAATGATAAGGGGAATTTTTCAAGTTAAAATGATGGAATGCGGCTGGGTTCTGTGATTCACACCTGTAATCCTAACACTCTGGGAGGCCTAGGCAAGAGGATCACTCGAGGTCAGGAGTTTGAGACCAGCCTCAGCAAGAGCAAGATCCCATCTCTACTAAAACTAGAAACAAATTAGCTGGACAACTAAAAATATATAGAAAAAATTAGCTAGGGATGGTGGCATACGCCTATAGTCCAAGCTACTCCGGAGGCTGAGGCAGAAGGATCGCTGGAGCCCAGGAGTTTGAAGTTGCTGTAAGGAAGGCTGATGCCACAACACTCTAGCCCGGGCAACATAGCAAGACTCTATTTACAAAAAAAAAAAAAAAAATAGGTGGAATAACTAACAATATGAAAACTTAAAAGTATAAAATCTCACTGAAAATGCTAAATAAATAGTAAAATTTACTGTATTCTAATACTGTAATGGTGGTGCATAAATTGCTTTAAACTCCAGTATAATAGCTATAGAATTATTAAAAATAAATAAATAAGCATAGCCAAAATATTTTCTTAATGGATACACAATATAAAAAGTTATAAAGTATAACATATATACCATAAAATGTTTGAGGGGGAGAAAAGGTGAAATTTTTATTCATAAATATTAAATTGTTAATTTATTTTATTTTTTTGACAGACTCTCACTCTTTTCCCCAGGCTAGAGTGCCGTGGCATCAGCCTAGCTCACAGCAACCTGAAACACCTGGGCTGAGTCAATCCTTCCGCCTCAGTCTCCCTAGTAGCTGGGACTATAGGCATGCGCCACCATGCCCGGCTAACATTTTCTATATATTTTTAGTTGGCCAATTAATTTGTTTCTATTTGTAGTAGAGATGGGGTCTGGCTCTTGCTCAGGCTGGTTTCGAACTCCTGACCTTGAGCGATGCTCCCGCTTCAGCCTCCTAGAGTGCTGGGATTAAAGGCGTGAGCCACTGTGCCCGGCCTAAATTGTTATCTTAAACTATACTTCTAGTTGTTTTACAAAAAGTCTTATGATAACCAC